TAAATTTAGAGTTAGGACAACACATAAATTAGTTGAATCAAATGAAATTGTGCTATAAACAACTAAATGATGAAAAAGATTAAAACATAATGAAAAATTATATGGAAAAACCAAAGTAGTATTCTTCAATCAATTAAACATGAAAAGGTAAATAATTAAATACAACCTTATTTATTTTGAGTATTGCATATTTGGCGTGCAAACCATAAAGTTTGGTGTTTGATAAAAAATTGTTGACATCCCAATGGAAGTTGTTTTTCAATTAGTGAAGACGATGGTTTTTTGTGGAGATTTTCTAGATATTTGTATGTAATTCCTCAATGGAGTAAGGATGTTTTCTTTTAGACTGAAATATGTATTTCATATTTGTGGTCATATTGTACAGCTTTGAGACTAACAAGCAATACATGTTTGCAAGATATGAAAAACCTGTAAGACAAAGATGACTTGAAGTGTTTTTCAGATTGGATAACAATCCTACGAGATGGTGGGCGCTGAACATTCAAATGATGGTTGTGTTTCCATTAGTACTCCTGATGATAGACTTATACACACTATTAGGGATCTAATAACGCCAATTGATGAATGTATCAGTAGTTCAAAACGTCAAACCAAGACTTGATCGAGCTTCTTGTGAGATAGTGTGATTCTTGCGCCAACATTGAGCGTGGTGGACTACATAAATGAGTATATGACAAATCTAAATGACGTAGGAGTTGCGAGAATATATCTTAGTTTAGCTGGTGTTTGTAGGGAAGATTGCACTATAGGTTTTGTAGCAGAATTGTACACTCTAAAATTCTTAAACAACATAATACTCTTTGGTGTTTCAAATCATAAGTTGACATTGAAATTAAAGTGAGCACAGTAGTGATGTTGTTGAGAAGTATAGATCATTATATGAGATTGTGTAATGGAACGAGATTGACAAAGTTGGGGATCACGTCCTAGAGGCAAAATCTTATTGGTGTTAGTGTAGGTGAAAGAGTTCTAATTCCAAGGATATCATTAATACCTTCCGATGTTAGATTGTCGTTCCGGTTCCAAAGAAGACAATATGTAATAATGACTTCATATGATATGATTATGAACACAAGTTAAGAACAGTCGTTATCCCATGCTAATTTGTTATTGGGGAGTTTCTTTTTTAGTCACGGATAACTTTATGTCGTTGTGTCACGAGTGAACAATAGGAAAAGATGTAAGATTTTAATTCCAACATACAACCAACGAAGCTTTGAATATTGTGTAAAGACGTTTTCGAAAACCTTTGAGATATTATATAATCTTTTGGGAAATGCATTTAATCGTACTTCAGATGTAATCAACAAATACAAGTTACTGTATATATTTTTGTAGCTCAAACTTTATCCTTTAGTATATTGTTTTAGTTTTCTCCGACTATCACCTGAAAAGGCAGCGAATATATAATATATTTGTAAGTGCTTGTTTTCCTGGTTAACATTTATTTGAGATTAATTACTAACCGTGCAATGCACAAATGACTCACTAGTTATTTTAATGGTCAAAGTGATGTATGTAATTAACCGAAGCCATTTGTATTTATAATGACTCAATTTTTCAAATCGGTCTTTAAAGTACTTTTGATTTTCTCAAGAATATCCCCTCAAGTTCTGTGGGTTATACTAATAGACACATTTATTTTCAATTTATCTTTTATCTCATTCTTCAACTTAAATCAGCTTGTCCTCATATATTTTATTTGTTCATTTCTGACTCATTACTAAGCTTAAATGTGCACCTACATCTATGTTGTCTATAAGATTCTTGAATTGTACATCATCGTCAAAAAGCATTCTGTTGTGTATAATGTTTTGTTGATGACCTTCTCACTAACCATGCAGATGAAACCAAGGACATAACTATCCAATGTTCCAATCGATATTATGTGCACAACATACTTATCTGTTTATTTAATGCACTTTCCATATGTGGATGCCTGACCTACGTGATTACTAGTTAATACGCATGTGATCATTCTTTAAATATGTCATTTACTTAATCAAGATCGCTCTTTTAAGAAAAGTAGAATTATGTGGTTGATAATGAGTTGATAAAGTGGGAAAAAAGTAAGAATGAATTAGAGTCACACAAATGATATCAAATATGGTATGAGACAATAATAGGGGGACAGAGGGAGTAATATTTTTGGAAAGGGTCCTCGCATGGTTAAGTACATTGAATGCATTGAATATATGATTGCATAATCTACTTTCTTCCTTTTTTTATCATTGCGTGAGTTACTCCTAAAATGCGTGTATACATAAACACCTATTCGTGGTATAATCCACCTACTTTGACTGCATATATGTTTTGATCAAGAATCAACACATTTACGAGCTAGAAGATCTCGACATATAAGGAAAGTTTTTCGAATAATATCATCAAGCCAAGTCTCGAATTTGAAGGATGGCCAATGTTGAGGTTAAGTCCCGCAGATCCAAAAGCCCAACACACGCTTTGGATGTTAAGGACGTAGGTCTTGGTTTGGAAGGTCAAAGAAATATAAAAATATGAATAATATTACACTCAAAAGCTCACTTGTATTAATGTCATTCGTTGATTACACTGAACCGCTCGAACGGCACGTTAGAACAATGGCTAATACAACTATACAAGTACAAGAGTGAGAGATCTATTCTAGGGCTCTGAGTTTCAAAATGCTAACTCTTTGCAATGTAATTAATGGTTCTATTTATACTAGAGAAGGGGGTAGTTGGAGCGATGACGTGGCCAAACCCGATTGGCTGCTGCCTCTTGCCACTTGGATACCCATGCCCCCACTTGTTGTCGTCATACTCTAGAATTTAATGCATCTTGCCACTTTGCGGACTACCCGTTCAGGCGTCAGACTGATGGACAAGGCTGGTGTTTGTTTATCGGACCCAAGTGGACTAATTGGCCCGAACGGTGTCTTCCTTGAGTTCCTGGTTCTCGTTCGGGTGACTATGGGTCGGCATCAAGTTCTTCCTGCACCTTCCCTCCTTCTTGGGTCTTTAGTGACTTTTGGGCTGGTTATTGGGCTTCGGCCCATTATCCCAACAGCCACATAAGAAAAATCTCAACGGGCCAGTACTAACGAGAGTCCTATGTATCAAAGATGAAAATGAAGAAGTATGGGCCCTTTACGAAGATAAGAAATAAGAGAGACATATTTACTGAAGAACCGTTGAAGCTCAAGGCACCTGAAACATCTCATATAATGGGGTTTTGAGGATTGACTAATTGTAGCATCCTTTTCCCTTCTAGATATAGTTTTCCTTTTCTCTTCTTCTCTTTGTAATGGGGTTTTGAGGATTGACTAATTGTAGCATCCTCGGGGTTGGTAAGTGTGTAGTGAGAGCTTTGTTGTAAAGCTGAGAGGGTCTCTACTCGCAAGGTAGAGAAGCGTAACTCTTCCTAGAGACGATAGAGTTGGGGTGACTCATGGGTAGTATAATAGAGTTTCTCTTGTAATCATTCAAAGGCTTTAGTGAAGTTGTTTCAAATTCTTCGTGGGAGGTTGAGGTCTTTTAATCCCTTTTGAGCCAAAGAATTTTTCCTCATTAAATCCTTGTGCACTTATTTACTTCGTCTCACCCTTTACTCAACACTAGAACTTGGCAAAAAACTGTCACAGTTCCACACACACACACAATTCACCCCTCTCTTGTGTTACTAACCGTTTCATCACATTCTCTACACAAAATAGGAGGCTCATGAAGGATACTTGATACATAGGTGTTTAGGTTGACCGCATACGATTGTTGCTCAAAGGTGTAGAGTTAAGTGGTTTATATGAGAAAATAACTACATACTGTATTTATTATTAAAATAAAAGTTATTTATAAAAATGTGACTTCTTAATTGTAGTGACCATACTAATAACTTTAATTATAGTAACTCATATTCAAGTTTTATATTTAAATAACAATGAAACCATACTATAGTAACTACTTCGTATTAATCATATTTTTATAAATAAATTTTACTTCGATAAAAAATTTCGAAAAAAAACTCATGAAGAAAATTCGTGAGCTCAATTTTCCACCCAAACAAACATGTCAATTATTTGTGAGAACATATTAAATTTCAGCCTAAGTAGTCATCCAGTTATCCAAATATAGCCATTATTGATTGATATTCAAGTTCTCCACCCCAAAATGATCTAAGAACTAAAATTGCATATTTACCACTTGATTAGGAGTGGACTCGGACCGGTCCAACCGGCCCGGAATCGGACCGGCCCGCTACTGTGCAGGCCCGGACCGGCCTGGTGAACCGGTTGGTGCCCGGTGAGGTAGGCGGTTCGGGCCCAGGCCTGCTAAATAGTGAACCGGCCCAGCCGGTTCAGTCTCTGTCCGGACCAATCTATTTTTTTTTTCTTTTTTTTTGGATTTTTTTAAAGTTTTTGGGTTGGGCTGGGTATGATGGACCATTTGAGGTGGTTTGGGGGTGAGGGGGAGGGTTGGGGCTTAATTAGGAAGAGCCAAAAAAAAATACATGAACCGAGGCCCGGACCGGATCCGGAGTTACCCGGGCCGGTTCCGGGCCTCCCCTTTCATGAACCGAGGCCCGGCCGGGCCTGAACCGGAACCGATCCACCCCTACACTTGATGCTTATTTTTAGGGAAAAGAAATATATGTCTATAGTGCCATTGAAAGTTGAAAGTTGAAACGCTAAGCTCAAATATCTCTATATTTGGGACGTGGTGTAACGTAAATTATTTTTCCGTTACGTTAAGCACAAGGTAAACCATTTTCTACGTTGTAGGGGTTAATGAAAATTGCAAGTATTCAGATCGATAGAAATGTTTGTATTTAGACTAATGTAATATCATCATTTGATAACTGAAATAATTATCAATATTTGTTTATACTCAGTATTTTAAGACAGCTGACCATCTGTAATACCCATAGACGCCATGGTGACCATCTATACTACGTTAGAATGTATTATATTGAATAAAATGGAGGAATTTAATAACATAATGATTTACCAAAAATTAGAGGAACTTGTTTCATTGATTAAATTCCACATTCCCACGGTCTATCCCGGATTTTCTGCTTACATTAATCAAGTCTTCATTAATGCAACCAACACTCCTGACTCGTCCTCATTAATGAGTAATGACCAAACTAGCTACAAGCTTCACAAAGACCTTACTTATCCACAAAAGGATTAGAACAATTTCTCTAAGACAAACTGGCCCGATCCAGACTATCAGCAACTGTTCTCATCCGAGGCCGAAGTTCGGGATCCAACTCCGTGCAATTTAGGGCAATGTGAAATGTTGCCAGGACCTGCTTCTTGCAGTGAACCTCAGGCAACAAGTGACGATCTATAATCTCCGACAAAGGCTTTTCCTCCTTGAAAGCCACCCTCACCATCTCATCGAGTCCCTTGCCATCACCCTCGGCTCCCCCATCACGCACCCGACCAGTTAAAATCTCCAAAAGCACTACCCCGAAAGAATACACATCGCATTTCTGCGTTAACTTGGTGACTGGAAAGCGGGTTTCGGGTTTCGTGTTGGCGTTGGTAGTCTTTTTGGAAGATGAAGTTGTGAGTCTTGATGAGTTGGGCGCAAGGCGGGTTAATCCGAACCCAGAGATGTAAGGCATTAGGTCATCATCAAGGAGAATCTTTGATGATTTTATGTTGCCATGAACATACCGTTTGGGGCTGCACTCATGAATGTGGGTCAGACCACGGGCGATCCCTTTGGCGATCTTCAATCTATCTGCCCATGACAGTGGTTGCAAAGAAACGCCTGGTCCACCTGGATCAGTTAAAAGTGAACATCAACAGCAGAAAGCAATAGGATTATTCTTCAAACCAATAAAGATTTTTTGTTCCATTATAAAAAGGTGTAAACTTAATACAAGTACCCAAGAAGTTATATAATGGGTTTGATATGAGATTGTAAACAAAAACAAACTTCGGAAGAGGCTTTAATGGAATTCAAAACCTGAATCATGGGGTAAAAATTGGTTGAAATGAACGGATTTGATGATTTATCTAAAGCACACTAAAAATATAAGTTTAAAAATAATTGATTGAGATAACGACTAAGATATGAGCACAGATTGGGAATTCATCTTTACCCATGTCCGTTCGCCTAAAAAAGAACTTTTAACTAGTTCTTTTATCACCAATCCATCGATCCATGTATTAAGCTAAAGCATCAACTAAAGGGGAAACTCCGGATGATAAAGGGAATTAGACAAATTAAGCAGGAACTGAACAAGTAAAAGCTATGAAAAATGCTTTGAACAAAACAGTAGTTGTAATCCAACTACATTGCGGTCAATTTTTACAATATATAAGCATTTATAGAACTGTATAATTCTCACCAGCCAGTCATCTCCCAATTACTGTATTAAAATAGGCCACATACTTTGGTCAAGCATCCCTTTTTAACCCCCCACCCTGGTATCAATGCCAATTTCTGAAAATGTAGCCTACTTACCTACCTACCCACATATCCTACTTATGTACTATACCTTCTTCAGAGTGATTTTATGTATTTATGGTGAAATGAGTAACAGCAGCAGCCTGACAAGTCATCACTATGGTTGCACCCAAACACTCTTCATTCATTTTGGTTGGTACCAATAATTTAATATGGAAACATCTGCATCCCTTATCTTAATGACTTGGTTTAGTGTAGGGATTTTGAAGGAAAGGGGAAGTGATGGTTGATTTTCGTTTAACTAATCTTTGAATCTATATGTATAAGTCTTAGATAAGAAATAAAAAACTAAAATTGTCTATATTTTGTTCCATACTTCTCTATTCTAACTTTGTGTTCCATACGGTATTTGGATGTATAAATTTCAGTGTAAATTTAAATCATACATGAATTTGATAACATGATGTTCTATTACTCCTTACCAAACATTGCCTAAGAACCAAAGAGAATAGAACTGATTGTTTACCATGTAAAGCATCGTGCAAACTCGCATTGCTGATAAAATCTGTAACTAGAAGCTTCTCATTACTGCCATAGTAATAGGCTCTCAATCTAACAATGTTGGGATGTTGGACTCTTCCAATGGCCTCGACCTCCGATTCGAACTCCTTGATCCGCCACACCGCATCTCCTTCACTTAACCGCCTCACCGCCACCACAGTGTCACCGCCACTTCCCACCACCATCGATCCCTTCCCACGGCCGCCTGACACCACCTTGTACACTATCCCGCTCCTACCATTCCCTACTTGAAACGCTGATGCCTTCAGCAAATCATCTAATTCCAACCAGAACCCTTCGTCTAACGTCACAAACTTCCCCTTTTGACCGTCTTCCTTCTTGCACTTCTCTGGCATTCCCAATGTCTCTTTCCCGATTTTTCCCTCCGTCCAATTCTGTTTCTTCCGGTACACCCACAAGCTGACCAACCCTACTCCGACCACTGCCAAGAAGACGGAAATCAGAGAACCGGTCACCAACCCATACCTCGCTCTGCCTCTATCGACCCGCTCATTTGCGAAATCAGCAGGGCTTCGGGGATTTTCCGATTCAGTCGAGCCGCTAGGGTTTCCCCCTGCCTGTTCCGGACATGAAATCTCCAATGGGAATCCGCAGAGGTAGGGGTTCCCGGAAAACGCGGTGGGCCCCTGGTTCAACAGTGACCCCGCCAGAGGTACCTTCCCGGTAAGGTTGTTGTGCTGGAGGTCCAGGCTAAGAATCACCGGGAAGAGTCCGTACGTCGCCGGGATTTCTCCGGAAAAACTGTTATACGAGAGATTCAAAGTTCCGGCGAGGTTGGGAAGGGTATAGAGCTCTTCCGGGAGGGACCCATTAAGGAGATTGGAAGAGAGGTCGAGGTGACGGATTTTAGTGAGGCTAGTGATCTGGTGTGGCAAGGGTCCAGAGAAGGAGTTGTGGGAGAGGTCGAGGTAGAGCAGTGATGAGGCATTGAAGAGGTGGGAGGGAATAGGGTTGGAGAAGTTGTTGAAAGCGAGAGAAAGAAATGAGAGAGAAGAGAGAGCTCCGAGCTCCGACGGGATGTAGCCGGTGAGGGCGGCGTTGGGTAAGGAAATGGAGGCGACCCTTTGGGTGTTGGGGTCGCATGTGATCCCAGCCCAGCGGCAAGGGGTCGGGTCCAGCTCGGACCAGGTGGCGAGGAGCTGAGTTGGGTCAGCTGTAATGGCGGATTTCAGAGCTAAGAGCGAGAGACCGTCTGAATTGAGGGCTAAAGATGCAGGAACTAGAAACGCTGTGAGCAAGAAGACGAGGAAGAGAATGGACCGGAATGGGGAATTACTGCAACTGAAATGTTTCATCATATTAATGGAATGAACCCTTTTACATCATTCATTCATTGATTCATGGGTTTAAAAGCGAAAAGGGGGGGAAAGAGGATTCAATCTTTTGCAAGAATTAAAAGGAAGGATATCCAGAGGGGTTGGTTGGGTTATCTTCGAGGTTCTACAAGACTGGCTGCTTGGAGGAAGAGAAGAAGAATCGCTTTGTCTTGACGTGGCTGGCTTACGATTTTTTTAAAAAAAAATCTCTTAGGGGACTATTATGCCGTGTTTGGTACATTGCTATACGGAAAGTATATTTCTTTTCTTTTCTTTTGTTTCTAATCTTGTATTGGAGTACGAATCACACACACATCTATACGTTCCTTTCCTTTTATAGTTACAATAATAATAATTTAAATTTCACATTGAACTTATGACTTTTGTCATTAATCCATTGTATTACTTATTAAGAAGATTATATACTCTCCTCTCATAGTCTCATAGACAAGTTTCTAATTACACCTAAAGTCCTAAACACACATTTACGCATGGAAAACATGTGGCATGACTTTTAATATGGCTTTTAATATATGTCTGTCAAATCAAATCAAAAACAAAAACATGGGTAATAGTGGTGTTTTATTATAAAACCTTTAATTTTATGAAAATTAGAAAGCTATTTTGGGGCATCAACTCAACGAAAGTATACCTTGTATTGACGACAGAAATAATATAATTAAATTCTGAAACTAACATTCGTTCGGATAAATTAAACGAAAAAACTTATACGTATAATACTTTCTCCGAATTGTTTCTGTTCATATATGTTTTCATGAAACTTAAGATAGAAATTGTACGGAGTATTGAGTAAATAGAGTAGAAAAGGTATGAAATAGTAGGTAAGAAGGTAAGAAAAAGAAATTGAAAAAACATGAAGTGCACAAAAAAGTAATGTTAAGTTAGCTGAAAAATATTTCACAAAATTCTTCCTACTTTTTGAAAAGTTTTGTTTGACTAACATTCATTTACATTTTTCTTACTCAATCACAATTATACATTTCCACTTTATTCACACTTTAATATTAATAAGCGTGTCAAGTCAAATTAGGAAGTACTCCGTACTTTTTAGGATGGAAGGAATAATATTTTATTCTATCTCACTATACATAAGTTTGTCATGCACTCACACATGTGTAATAAGACATCAAATACTGTGGAGTGAGATAATGAGATTTGCATATAAGAGAATGAAGTAGTATTGACTTCAAATTTATTACTTTGAATGAAATTGACAAAATTGTCTGGATCAAAATAAGATGATAAGGTAAGATTTAGGGAAAATGGTCAAATAGGTCCTCAAACTTACATAAAAGGTCAAATAAGGCCTAATAATAAGGCCAAAAGGTCACCATTTGGGGCAGTTTCCGGTGGAATTTTTTGATGAACTTTTTCGAGCATCTTATCCCATAAGTCTAGTTTACTCATACCAAATTTCAGCTAAAACTTCAATCGGGAAGGCATGAAAAATTAATTCTTGAAGATAACTGCACAGTGAAAAGTGCAGTGAAAAGTGCAGTTATCTTCAAGAATTAACTTGAATGTCTTCCCGGTTGAATTTTTAGCTGATATTTGGTATGAGTGAACTAGACTTAATTAATAGGATGGTCAAAAAAATTCATCAAAAAATTCTACCGGGAGTCGCCCCAAATATCGACGGCCGGACAGGGCCTCCTATATAAGGCCTTATTTGACCTTTTAATGTAAGTTCGAGGACCTATTTGACCCTTTTCCCTAAAATTTATATACGTAAATTATAGTAAAAAGAAAAATGGTAAGATTTATTATGCATTATATTAACATTAATCAAATAAAGAATTTCCTGTGGAAATATTTGTTGGAGCCATTATATATCGTATTACTTGTCGAGTAGGATTTCATAAAACGGGGTGTAATGTTCAATTTGGACAATAAAAGTGAATGCAAACTTAAATTACCCCTTTATAAAATTGTTTGTATTTGCAAGAAATTGACTCTTTCGTTTTTATAATTAATAGCTTTTGGGTATGTCCATTTCCAAAAAAGTCAGCCAAGTTAATGCAACTCTCCCAAAAAAGTGTGAGAAGTAACACGAAGTATAAGGATTTGTGTAGTTGTGTGTGTATTGCATACAATAGTTCTCTTTTTTTATACTACCAAAAAGTTTTGTCATTTTCAAAACATCGATCAACTATATTTTTATTAAAGATTATTAATAATATGGATAAGGGTCAGATAGGGCCTCGAACTTACAAAAAAATGTCAAATAAGATCTTATATAAGATGATCTATCCGGCCGACGCCATTTGGGGCAGTTGCTGATGGATTTTTTTGATGAATATTTTTAAGAATCTTATTCATTAAGTCTAGTTTAGTCATACCAAATTTGAACTAAAAATTAAATCGAGAAGGCATTCAAATAAATTCTTGAATACAACTGCGCAGTTATTTTCAAAAATTCATTTGAATGTCTTCCCGATATAATTTTTAGTTCAAATTTGATAGGAGTAAACTAGATTTAATGAATAAGATGCTCCAAAAATTTCATCGAAAAATTTAACCGAGAACCACCCCAAATGGCATCGGACGTACAGAGCATCCTATATATGACCTTATTTGACATTTTTTTGTAAGTTCGAGGCCCTATTTGACCCTTATCCCTTTATAATATAAAAATGATATGAAAATTGTTGGTCCCGGTTGTACTGGGTACAGTCTAGAGAGGGGGGTGAATAGACTGTACTGGTTTTTAACTTTTTCAAGCTAAGTACCAGATTTAACAGAATAGCATGTTCTGTTGGCAGAACAGACTGGCAGCGGATGGTCTTCTGGTAGGGGTTCTGTCCGGTTAGCCTCTAAGAGATGCAAAGACAGTAGGCCTTCTATTAACTCACATGAGGGTTTCTGCTAAACACAGAGACCCAAATTCTGGAGTTAATCAGTTAAAAAAATACAAGAATTAAAAGCAGTAAGTAAATGACACCAGAGATTTTTATAGTGTTTCAAGGAACAACTCGTTCCTCTAATCCACTGTTCCACTAAGCTTGTAAAAAATCCAATTACAAAGCCTTAGTCCTAGCACTTAAGAAGCTCTACATGTCTTCTTCAAGCGTAGATGTCTCCTGGGATGCACTTCCTTGCTTCCTTTAAGACTGGTCCTTTCACTGAGCTTCCCGGAAGTATCACCACTTCACTACTCTAGTTACTTGGACGTCCTTCTCGTTGGAGAAGAGTTCTTGAAAGAACAGGGGTTTTCCAACTAGCTTTGTTACAAAAGTTTTGTAGTTGAAGTGCTTGAAGAGTTGAAGAACAGTTGGAACTTTGCTCTTGTTGGGGATATGAAGCTAGAAAAAGATTATCTTCCCAACGTACGCCTTTCTTGTTGATGAAGATGGAGATTTTGATCTCAAGAAGGCTTGTACATTTTGAATGTTTGAATGTTTTTGTCTGAGCACGGGGTTTTCAAAGTGTTAGCAAAAGTTGTCCAGTTGTTCTTCGAGTAGTATCTTTTATACTGGGGTTGTCTTCCCGTTGGAGGAGGAGGACAACTGCATTCAATGCGCGAATAGTTGATTTGACCAGTAGGGCCCGGTAAAGTTGGCGGGTTACTATTTTGGGATAAAGTTATCCTGAAATATCTTGGAATGTCGGCCAATCATCAGCTTTTACTCTTCAGGGTACGAGATGCATTAAGTGTGCATTTAATGCGCGTACTGTAGCTTTTCCGTTGAAGTCTTCTAGCCGTTAAAGGAATTTTCCGTTGGTTTCACCGGCTGAAGTCGTTCCATGAAAATTCTCTAAGTGTCAGGCCTTCTGGTGTCTTCAGCAGAGGATCTGCCAGAGAAGGTCTTGAACACTTCTGTTGGATTAAGCTATCAGAGGGTCCTGAGGTCTTCTGTCAAGGGGCGAACCAACAGAGAGTATTGACAGTGGTGTCCAACAGAGGACCAGGAGGGTTTCTGTCCGAGTAAGAGCTAACAGAGACCCAGAGGTCTTCTGTCTGAATTAAAATACAGCAGAGGTCCAAAGGTCTTCTGTCAGGAGGCCTTCTGTCAGTCGACTATACTAAACATATACAAGGACAAATCTAATACAATCTAAGGGGTACTCTAAAGTCCTATAGCATCATCAAAATCTAATTACACTTATTCCTTACAAAAATGTTTCTTGTTAAAAGTATTTTCACAAAAGCATAGAATTTACCATTTTTGTGATATTGTACTAATCAAAGTCATGATTCAAATTTTTACAAAATGAAATTTTGTGGGACGGGGGTAGTGTGTAAGTTTATGTCTTATTTTAAAAGGTGTGAAACAAGTCGAAACGTCAAAATGAGGTCTCAGACCATTGTGGCTTAGGCGAGAATAAATGAATCTTGGGCGTAAAAAGATTGTTTTAAATTGCTGGTGTTTATTACACTTGTTATGAAGTTCTCTCTCCGTCCCGGATAAAACTTGATGTTTGCTTTTGACACGGTATTTTAGGAGCACAATTAATATAAGAACAATGTCTTGCATGCCCTTTGACTTTTGGAGAGAATTAATGCTCTCCACTCAAATGTAAAAAGTGGGTGGGTAGTGAAAGGTAGTTAGGACATTTAATGTAAAAGGAATTGTCTAAAAAGGAAACGTAAAGGAGTAAATGGGACGTCCCAAGAATGAAAGTGTACAGATTTAAATGAGACGGATGGAGTAGTTAACTAAGAGCATATTTGGTGACTTTGTTTTTCGGCTTATCAAGCTTAGTAACCAACTTTTTAATCAAGCACATAACTTTTGATTTCGCGCGTTGAACTGTGGCTGTATTTGTTGAAGTTACAGTAGATGACAATTTTAGTTATTTTTCATATAATTTTTTCTTTATTAATAAATTATATTTTAAATATAATTTTTTGATAAATCAGCATAATCAGCCAATTCAGCTAGAACGTCATAAATTTAGTAGAATCAGTCGATTTTAGTGTTACCAAACGGACTATAAATATCAAAAAAAGTATACTACGTACTATCTATATGCCTAGTACGGAGTATAAAATTGAGCCTAATTATTTACTTTTTCAATGATAAAAAACATTAATACTCTCTCCTCTCAAAAAGATTTGCCAAATTGATTTTTTGGTAAATGATTATCAAATTTGAAAAATTATATTTTTTAATATGAAACTATTTTGAATATGAAATTATACTATTTATTAAAATGTT